TGAGCGAAGCTATGTCCGTAACCAACAGACACCTGTACTGGCTGGCCCGGCAAAACAGGTCTGCAGGAAAAATCAGGTACAGTTGGTTTAGCGTAGGCAAGGTGAAATGTCGACGAGACGATGGAAAGCAGGTCGTCGTCATCAACTCACCATCAGATTTAGACACGTTTGCTTGACATGCATATACATGTTACATCACTTTGAACAATCTTGTTTTTACTTTTTTATATCCCCAAGTTTATGTTTTTGTTGCGTTTGTTTTAATAATAGACTATGATAATAATTTCATTTTTGTTTATGAGAATATTTTAGGTCTGATCTGTTCAGAAATTCTAATTTATGTATTTTTTTTCTTTTGCACAATAGGAATATGCTTTTCGTTAACTAAATTTTATATTTTTGGTTTACCATCCTTATTAATATCTAGGAAATCTTGCACACTTATTGTTCCTCTCAATAGAGATAATATCAATAATTATGGTCTCTGGGCTCATATTGGCTCTAGCTGCTGTAGAAATATTCCTATCCTTAACTCCTTCTGTCCGTTTACCAAGCCACCCCTCCTTCTTCCATGACTAATATCCTTCTAACCTGCCACGTCAACGCTCAGTCACTCTTAGCCCCTTTTGATGAATTTTACGACTTTTTTCTCCATAACTTCTACCATTTAATTGCCGTGTCCGAAACCTGGTTGAAACCCACAATCCCGTCCTCCCAGATCCTTCTACCTAACTATACTCTCCTTCGTCATGACAGAGTAGATCGCACGGGTGGTGGAGTAGGTCTCTTTGTCCATGACAGTCTCAAATCCAAAATCCTTCACTGCTCTTCCATAACCGATTCTCCGCACGTTGAATACCTTTTCGCCGAAATCCTCACAACCTCATCTGCCATTCTGTTTGCTGTCATATATCGCCCTCCTAGAATTCCTTTCGATGAATCACTTGAGACTTTATTGTACAACTTAATCCCTTCCTACTCAAACATCATCCTCTCCGGTGACTTTACCACCAATTTACTGGCACCATCCTCTGATTATTCCTACCTAACAAACCTCTTTAATTCTCTCAGCCTTTACATAGTACCCTACAATCCAACCCATCATACTCAGTATTCAGAGTCCTGGCTCGATCTAATTCTCCTGGATTCCTCAGACAAACTCCTTGCCGCATCTCAGCACCCGGTTCCATTTCTATCTTCCCACGATCTTGTCCAGATCTCTTACAATGTCCCTGTTCCATCCTTTTCTCCCCGAACAATATCCTTCCGAAACCTAGATTATCTCACTCACGAAACATTGTCAGAAGATCTTGACGATATCCAGTGGGATCCCATCTACTCCTCAAAATCCATAGACACCATGGTAGAAATCCTTACCACTCAACTTCACTCTATCCTCGACCGACATGCTCCTCTTATCACAAAAACCATCCGATATCCTCCAGCTCCTTGGCTTACTCCTGCTTTGAGGGAGTGTATGAGAGAAAGAGATGCTGCAAGGCGACGGTTTAAACGAACTCGACTTCCTGATGATTTTCTCTCCTACAAACAGCTTCGAAATAGCACTCAATCAGCAGTACGCCGTGCTAAATCCCGTTACTACCATCATTCCCTATCCAACTCTCCCAATACCAAGGCTACGTGGGCTATTCTTAGAAAACTGACCATTGGTAATGCACCCCAGTCTCAGTCCAATTCCGTTTCTGCTGATAACCTCAACGCTCACTTTGTCTCCTGTCCTCTTGCATCCACATCTCCCACGTCCAGTCTGGCTCCTATGTTCTCTTCCTTTAATCCTGATCACTTCTTTCTTTCCCATATTACACCAGATGAGCTCCTTAAATCCATTCAGAAGTCCCATACCAATGATTACGGTCCCGACAACATCCCAGTCAGACTGATTAAAGCCGCATTGCCATCCATTCTTCCGATCCTTTATCATATATACAATTATTCTCTTCAAAATGCTACCTTCCCTACATCCTGGAAAACCGCCCTAGTACGCCCATTGAAGAAGACTTCAAACCCATCAGTTCCTAATGATTTCCGACCGATTTCCCTCCTTTCAAACCTCTCAAAACCATTAGAGCGGTTAGTCCAATCCCAGCTATCCCATTTTTTAGAGGACAATAATCTCCTAAATCCCTACCAGTCCGGTTTCAGGCCTGGTTATTCTACTCAGTCTGCCCTAATCAAAATTTCCCAAGACCTTCACACAGCCATAGATCAGCAGAAACTAACCATCCTTATTCTCCTAGACTTCTCCAAAGCTTTTGATTCAGTAGACCACAACATCCTCCTAACCAAACTTAAAAATATCTCTTTTTCTTCTAGTTCCCTTAATTGGTTCCAATCCTTCCTAACCGGTCGCTCCCAGTACGTTGTAATTCCTAATAACCCACCATCAGAATCTCTACCTCTGACCAGAGGCGTCCCACAAGGCTCTTCCTTATCCCCCACCCTTTTCTCCATCTATATAAATGACCTCCCATCCTCTATCCTGCACTGTCATTACCACCTGTATGCCGACGACATTCAAATTTACCTCTCCTTTAATCCGACAGATATCTCAGATGCCACTCAAAAACTTCAGGAAGATATTGACAGAATAAGTGCTTGGGCAAACCTCAATAGGCTCACTCTGAACGCCGAGAAGACAAAAGCCATCTTGATCGGATCCCCTTCACTCCTCAAATCCTCCCCGGTATCTCCCAATCTCTTCCTGAACAACTCACCTATCTTATTCTACACCACCGTTAAAAACCTAGGTGTTACTTTCGATCAATCCCTATCCTGGAAACCTCACATCTCCCAAATTTCCCGTCGCACTATCTCCACCCTAAAACAGTTCAATCGTCTACGATATCTCCTTCCATATAAGTCCCGTCAACTCCTAGTTTCCTCCCTTGTTTTCCCCCACTTCGACTATGGCTGTATGGTGTACGGTGGACTCCCGGGAGATTCCGAGGCCAAACTTAAACGCCTAATGAATTGCGCACTACGATTTGTTTTCGGAATCTCAAGGGATACGCATATTACCCAGTATTACACTGAGTTGAGGTGGCTCTACCCATCCTATCGCCGTCAGTACTTCCTAGCCACCTTTCTGTACCAAATCATTAGAACCCATCGACCCTCCTATATTTTTCACAGCTTACAATTCAAATATTCCATCCAATCCCGTCCCACCAGATCTCGTACTTCCGACCTCTATCCTCCTCCTCACCGAACTGCTGCGTTTGACAAATCCTTTGTAATACAAGCCGCCTCCCTCTGGAATTCCATCCCAGCTGATATTCGACACGCTCAATCAGTTTCCTCGTTTAAACCTCTCCTCTTTAAGCACCTACTCCTTTCTCAATCCGAATGATTGTGAAATATATCTAAGAGAAATATCTGAGCACCACCAGAGACTACCTCAATTTATTAAGGTTATTTTAGTTTCTCATACATATGTACAATTTACTTGTTCTTTTCTTTCCCTTTTTGTATTTTTATCGTAAGTCAACTTTCATTGTAAATATACAATTTAATTGTAGCCACACAGACATATAATCTGTATTCATATTTTGTTCTTAAGGGACAACAGTCCCAGAATAATAAAAAAATTTTTTCATTTTCATTTCATATTTTGTGGATTTCGTCCATAAAGATGATAAACAATAATGGACTCAAGCTGTCTCCTTGTTTCATACCTCGCTCCATTAGAAATGGCTTGGACTCTCGGCCACATATACCCGCTATTCCTTTGGGACTCTTGCATGTAGATTTTATTGCTACCAGAAGGTCCTTGGGAATAACCTTTTTTTAAGTGCTCTTCATATTTTACATCGGGGTACTGAGTCGAAGGCAGCTTTTAAATCTAAGAAAGCAATATATACAATATTTCTGAGAGCGAATATGTGGTCTCACGTTTGGTCTTGCGTTTGCTTCCCTGGTCGGAAACTAGCCTGATCTTCTTCTAATTCTGGTTCTATCAATGGCCTTAATCTGTTTTCTAATCTCTCAAGTGATTACTAAGGACCATTTTTAAGTATTTGGAAGAATCTGTTTTAGGAACGAAAAGGATAGCGATCTGGGTAATCATTGCGAAAATTTCTTCAGGATTTTCTAGGCGAGACGGGAAAACTTCAAAATCTTTGTAACAATTCTTACAGTGTATATACTTGTGTATACAGTTGCGGTCATAAAAATGTCATCACCTATTTCTTTTGATTCTTTTGTTTATAACACTGATTCCATTTGTCAATTTTTCTTATTAAGATTACAAAAAAACTTTAAAAATGTTTCTTAGTTCAGTTTTAACTAATGTCAAGATAAAAGCTGTAATTACGTAATATTACAGCTGTAAAGCTGTAATTTGACCTGTGTCAAAAAATCCTCGACAAAAATATTTAAATTGTGACTTTACATGAAGTAAAGGAATTTTCTCGGGAAATAGTAATGAGAATAGTGTACCACCAAACAACAGTAGTCTTAGTTTAGAAAAGAAAAAAGAAGCAACAAAAGAAAAAACTGGAAGGAGAAAAACTACATCTGTGAATTACACAAAAGGGGTTGCCGTTGATTTGGAAAGGCTAAAGCTGGAGCCACATCTAGCTGCCCAGTTTTCTAGAGTTTTAAGAGTTTTGTATATCACGAATTGTGCAATGTTTACATCGGTAGAGCTATAATAAATCAGGACGTCGTCAGTATTTAGTGCAAACATTAACAGGTTTGAGTATGAATGATCTGATATCGTTTATGGCAATGTTGAAGAGTGTAGGTCTTAAAACAGATCCTTATGGCACACCATAGTGTAATTCAAAATTGTTTGAAAAAGTAGAGCACGCACGAACATTAAAATTCCGATTACTAACAAAATTTTGTATAAAGAATAAAATATTAATAAAATCACGTTTGGAAAACTGTTTTATTTATTACTAAATTTTAAATATTATCACTAACAAGATATAAATTATAAAGTTATTCAAACTATATAATTTTTTATATATTTACAGAAAAAAAGTGGTGATTTGGCGCTCGAACTAGAAAATGCTGTGGCTAACAACATCCCTTGTGAAATCATCGCACTAGCCAATGAAGGAGGAAATATCAATGGGTTGACTGAATCCGGGGAAAGCTTCGTTCATGTTGCCGTAAGGACTGGAAGTATGTCTTCAATTGCTGCATTGGGGTTTCTGAAGGCAGATCTTGACGTTCTCAACGCTGCTGGTGCAACACCTATGGAAGAAGCTGTTAAAATTGACAATGTTCCATCTATCAAGGAACTGATACAGGCTGGAGCTGAAATTGAGAAGCAGTTGCTCGGGGGTGACTCTTACCTCCATATTGCGGCTAGTTCAGGCAAGAATGAAGCATTACGAACATTACTTGAAGCAGGACTTGAACCCGACTTAAGGAACCACCTGGGCAATACTTCATTGCAGCTAGCTCTCGAGGTAGGAAATGTCAAGGGGGTGGAGATCCTACTGGAAAGATGTACTAATAGCTCTTTGATACCAGAAGAAGGAAACAGTCTTATACATATGGCCGTTGTGTCATCTAATGTTGATTTGTTTAAAGCATATATAAAATGTAGGACATTACCAGATCTCAGATTTGGAAGTAATAACACGTTAGTTCACTTGATAGTTCGTTCAAATAATGCAACTGAAATGCTCAAAGTACTGAAAGGTCAAGAACTGCCATTAAACATAAAGAACGCAGATGGTGTAGCGCCTTTACATATAGCCAGCGACCCAGCAGTTGTTGAGGCGCTGCTGGAGATGGGTGCGGATGTCAATATAACTACAGAGAAAGGAGAAACAGCTCTCCTTATAGCTTCGGCCAAAGGATATTTGAGTGTTATTAAAGTTCTAGTTAAACATGATGCAGGAATTGATATACAGGATTACCTAGGTGAAACTGCTCTGATGGTTGCTACGAAATCAAAAAGAAATAAACCAGTTGTGTTTTTATTGAACAGCGGTGCAGATCCAACACTCAAGAATAAAGAAGGTCGGACGGCGCTACACTTCGCCTCTGAAGCAGGATGCATTGATTGCGCTTTGTTGTTGTTGGACAACGGAGCAAAGGTGGATGAAACGGACACTAATGAATTCACTTCTCTTCATTATGCGGCACGAAAAGGACAAGTTGGGGTGGTCACTTTATTGTTAGAACGAAGAGGAAATCTAAGAGCAAAGTCAGATTTGGGCAGGACACCACTAATGGAAGCATCTGAGAACGGTCATTTGGATGTGGTGAAGCTTCTCATCGACCGAGGAGCGTCTATCAACGATAAGGATAAGGATGGATGGACTGCAGTACATTATGCAGCACAAAAAGGACAAGTTGGTGTGGTGACTTTACTTTTTGAAAATGGAGGGAATCTAAGAGCTAAGACAGGATTGGGCAGGACGCCACTAATGGAAGCATCTATTCAGGGCCGTTCGGATGTGGTGAAGCTTCTAATTGACGGAGGAGCGCCTATTCACGATAAGGATAAGGATGGATGGTCTGCACTACATCATGCAGTAGTAAAAGGAGAAGTAGGTGTGGTGAATTTACTGTTAAAAGGTGGGGCAGATTTAACAGCTAGGACACGTGAAGGCAAAACGCCACTAATACAAGCATCTATTCAGGGCCATTCAGATGTGGTGAAGCTCCTAATTGACCGAGGAGCTCCTATCCACGATAAGGATAAGGATGGATGGTCTGCACTACATTATGCAGTAGTAAAAGGAGAAGTAGGCGTGGTGAATTTACTGTTAAAAGGTGGAGCAGATTTAACAGCTAAGACACGTGAGGACAAAACGCTATTAATAGAAGCATCTATTCAGGGCCATTCGGATGTGGTGAAGCTTCTGATTGATGGAGGAGCGACTATCAACGATAAGGATAAGGACGGATGGTCTGCACTACATCATGCGGTAGTAAAAGGAGAAGTAGGTGTGGTGGATTTACTATTAAAAGGTGGAGCAGATCTAACAGCTAAGACACGTGGAGGAAAAACACCACTAATAGAAGCATCTATTCATGGTCATTCGGATGTGGTGAAGCTTCTAATTGACCGAGGAGCGCCTGTAAACGGTACGGATAACACCAGAGGTACTGCACTAAATTATGCAGCGAATCATGGTAAAATTGGCGTGGTGACTTTACTATTGGACCATGGAGCATATATAACGGTTCAGTCTGACAACGGCAGGACACCACTAATAGAAGCATCTATGAATTGTCGTTTGGATGTGGTGAAGCTTCTAATTGATCGAGGAACGTTTATCAACGTTAAAGATAAAACGGGAGCGACTGCCTTATATTATTCAAGGAAGTATAATTGTAAGACGACAAGTGATTACCTTAAATCAAAAGGTGGGATAGCATAACTTCTCAATAGTCTGTGAACACCACAAATACTAAGTTTTGCAGTATTCATTTTTTTTATTCATTAAGTTTTTATGTTTTTCATTACAATGAGATTTTTTTATTATAATATTGCACCATATTCCTGGTTATGTAAATAAATTAAACAAGGTTATCTAAATGTACTAATTTTAAAAATAAAATGTTTTCATATTTCGTAATATATTTAGTTTTCTCTATTTTATTTCTAGTGTTATGCTTAAATATTTTCTTTGTTTTATCTATCATGGATTTTTTTCAGATGTGTATTACTTTCACATACCTATATATGCAATATGTAGTAAGGGTAAGTATTGCAATCATGAAAATTTTCGAATCTGATTTTTCAATGGAAATACATGTTTTGAGGTCTCTTGAGTCCAAATAACCAAGTCCCGCAAAATGGTGTTGTGTGTGAGAGAGATAGAGAGAGAGAGAGTGATCAGTCTAGCTCAAAAACAAAAAGTCGTATAAAAGTGAAATTGCATATTTAAGGTTTTTATAAGCCTTCGATGTTGCAGCAAAATTTTTGTCAAAATCTGCACACAGACACAATCAGTGGTGCTTTATATAACCAATTTGATACATTTTTACGATTTTCTCTAAAATAGTATTAATGATTATATCATTATATCAGTGTACTATTAAGCAGTTTTTAATATAATGTAGGTTTTATTCTCATTGATGTTCTCTAACAGAGCTTCAATGGCTAAATCATATAATAACATTATATAATGTCTCCCTTTTATTGTTTTTAATATATATATATATATATAATATATATATATATATATATATATATATATATATATATATATATAATATATATATATATATATATATATATATATATATATATTGTAACGTTCCTCTTTCCCTCCAAAATCAAACAACGAGTTTCCTTTTTCAATATACTATTTATTTTAACACATAACATAAATTCACAGGTTGGGTTCTGACAACTGAACACTCATTCAACATTAAATAACTATAATCTACACTAATTTACTAATTACTAACTACAGTTATATATAATTTTAAATAGTTTTATAAAATAATTTGTCCCGTTCTAAACTTTTGGTTCTATCCCTCTGTCCACATAAATGGCATTGTTAGCACTCACCCATATGTTTACGCCTGTCAGTGAAATAATCTCTTCTTACTTACGAATGTTCCGTTTTCTGTACCACTCAATTCTTTTCTGCTATCTTTTTTTTCTTCCAACATAAAATAATCTCCACTAGTGGCCTCTAACAACACTCGGACCGGCTAGGACTCCTCTTTCACTTTCTCAGCTTGCTGGCTAGCACCTTCTCACTTGGCAGCTCGTCACCTTCTCTCTTGACAGCTTGTCACATTCTCTCTTGGCCGCTATCACCTTCTCTCTTGGCGGCCCGTCACATTCTGAGTTACATGAGGCTTGCTTCTCCCACCATCCGCACGCACTTTCTCCCCGTAGTTCGTGTTGTTACCACTTTCGCGCCAATATTCAAATGCCATGTAATGTTGACATTACAATATATAAGCAAGTGGTGGGGGAAGCAAGCCTCATGTAACTCAGAATGTGACGGGCCGTCAAGAGAGAAGGTGATAGCGGCCAAGAGAGAAGGTTATGAGCCGCCAAGAGAAAATGTGACAAGCTGTCAAGAGAGAAGGTGCTAGCCAGCAGGTTGAGAAAATAGAAAAAGGAGTCCTAGCCGGTTCGAGTGTTGATAGAGGCCACTAGTGGAGATTATTTTATGTTGGAAGAAAACAACATAGCAGAAAATAATTCAGTGGTACAGAAAACGGGACATTCGTAAGTAAGAAGAGATTATTTCGCTGACAGGCGTAAACATTTGGGTGAGTGCTAACAATGCCATTTATGTTGACAGGGATAGAACCAAAAGTTTAGACCAGGACAAATGATTTTATAAAATATTTTAAATTATAAATAAGTGTAGTTAGTAATTAGTAAATTAGTGTAAATTATAGTTATTTAATGTTGAATGAGTGTTTAGTTGTCAGAACCCAACCTGAGAATTTATGTTATGTGTTAAAATAAATAATATATTGAAAAAGGAAACTCCTTGTTTGATTTTGGAGGGAAAGAGGAACGTTACAATATATATATATATATATAACTATTTTCATCAGACATGGGCCAAAAGTATTTTAAAAGTAATTATATAAATAAAAATACATTTGTTTTTCCCAACAATATACCTATCAATAATATGCTCTTTCATCCTACCAATGAAAAAATCCTAGAACCTTCCATAATTTCTAAATATCTATCAACTTTTGTTGATAAAATTAATTGTATTAAAAATTTAGCAACAGCGACTTAAAAAAAATGTCAAGCTCAATTTTCATGGGTGAATTATAGTACCAATGTTTAGCCTTACTATATAGCTTAAAGGCGCCTTCTCAATTATTATAATAATAAATTTATTGTATTTATTTCAAATACATAATATTGTTTTTTGTTCTCTCGCCTCCATGGTAACCCATGCATCCGTGGGCTCTTTTGTGGTTTCTTCAAGTCCTCGTATTGAGGTCACCCATGACTATTAAATTACTATATTTTTATCAATTACTTGGGTGAGATCGCTGTAGAATTGTTCCACTTCCATCACACAAGAATCCTCAGTCGGTGGATGGACCTGGATCAGAGTAACTTTTTCCACCAGGAGAACCACATTGGCAGATTTTATTCTAGAGCTCACTGGTTCCCAATCCTGAACTTTCTGAAAAAGCTCATCCTTAAAAATCATTCCAATTCCCTCATTTGCTCAGTTACTCGGCTGTACTTCCAAATAGAGCAGAGTATATCCCTTGTCTGAGTATGTCCCTTGTATTTCATCAGAAACCTTCTTTCTAATATCACATATCTGCAGGATTCCATCTCCTCCAGAATCTCCACTTCCCTTCCATAGAGAGTGTGTATGTTTCATTTACCAAATCTAATATCCTTTAACATGCCAAGTCATTCCCATAGATCCGTCCAAATCCTAGACTATTTGCGGAAATTCTTTGAATCGTTTGAACTCCAATACGGATTAGCTCAAGAGAGGAGATCCCGTTCTCTCGGGACAACTAGTTGCCATTTTTACACCTGGCATTGAGTCTTCTCAAGAGAGGTGATCCTGAGGTGTGTACAGTAAGTGTATATGTAAGATGTACTATTCTACTGTGAGAAAGTGTGCCGTATACTGAACTCAGGAGACTGGACTTTCTAATGTAATACATAAAAAAAAACGCTGAAAATTAATTTAAAATGGTTTATTATTTCTAAACCATTATGCATCTAAAGTGACATTACCTTCCTAGTGACAAAAAAAAAAAAAAAAGAAAAAGAAATAAAAGGTGATTCCAATTATTGGACTAAACATTGTTTTTTAACACATACAAAAATCCGCTAATGACCCGATCGGGTAGATGCGGAATGTAACAATAAATAATAACCTGTACCACTACAACCCACGAAGGGTCTGGGGTTCAGTACTATTTAGGGAAAGCACTGTTTCTAGGTCAACGGTTGTGCAAGGAGGTGATTTGACCGAGATCACGCTCAACCGCCAGGTTTTCCCCCTTAATTAATTATTTAATTAAGGGTACCCACTTTATAGAGGCTGGGTGTGCCCCAGGAGGGACTTCTGACCCAAGGTCACCCCACGGCCAATGAAACAGATAAATAAATTTTCTGCCATGAGCCAGGGTTCGAACTCGGGACCTTTGCATTGGAAGCTCAGTTCCCTACCACTGAGCTACCCCACTCCCTAATAAATAATAACACATACAAAAATTAAAAATCAAAACAAAGGATATAACCTTTGCAGTAGAACATATAAAAAATATCTAGAGACCATATCTTTGTTCCTAATTGTCCGATTTTAACTACTTCTTTTTTGTTTTTTATAAAATTCCGTAAAATGTCACCAATAAAGTTTATAAGTTTTGAGTTATTTGGAATCTACTTTTACTATCCCTCATAACTTTTTTTCCAGGTTCTAATCGTTGAAGTATGTTATATAGACAAAATTTAAAGAGCATCGAGGAGAAGACTAGCGAAGTCTCATTGAAATCGGTAAATTCGTTTCGGCGCTACAGTCAATAGCAACGCAGGCTTTTCTGTCGCCATCATCAAAGGAAAAGGCGGATAGAAATGTCGATGAAAGAGGGCCATCCTCGGGTGACCTCTAATTTTAAATCCAAATTTGAAATAAAATCGGTCCAGTAGTTTCAGAGAAAATCTAGGGAAAATAGGAATCTACTTTTACTATCCCTCGTAACTTTTTTTCCAGGTTCTAATCGTTGAAGTATGTTATATAGACAAAATTTAAAGAGCATCAAGAAGAAGACTTTAGCCAAGTTTAATTGAAATCGGTAAATTCGTTTAGGCGTTACAATTTATAGCAATGCAGGTTTTTCAGTCGCCATCTTGAAAGGAAAAGGCGAATAGAAATGTCGATGAAGGAGTATCATCCTCGGGCAACCTCTAATTTTAAATCCAAATTTGAAAACAATCGGTCCAGCAATTTCGTAGAAAATGCGCGGACGGTGTATGGACAAAAAAATTTTTATTCGTTTTTCGAATCCTACATATCCTGAAACTTAAAACCTCAAATTTTGAGAGGGAGTTAAGTTTTTGAATTTTTCGTTGGATCACAATGGTTCATTATCGAAAATAATAAACAAAAATTATTATCGTGGCCAGCACTATCGAATTCTGCCAGGGGGCACGCCGTTCCCTCTGGAAGGTGGAAAAATAATTCCGAAAAAAGTTCCAAGAAACAGCTATTTAAAGAAAAGAGAAATATAACATGCAGTTTGCATTTTCAGGTCACCTCAACAGACTTTGGCTGAACTTGCGTCCGGCCTTTGGCACAGGCCAAAATAAAATATAGAAAATACGTTTTTTCTCCCGGACTCAGCTTTTCTTCAGTTCCAATAGATCTGAATGAATTGCCACCTCCAGCAACTATAGACTCCTTGATGAATTCATACAATTCATAAGACTGCTCATGATAATTATTTGTATAGTTTTCATTAAAAAGTGCTTTTTTTTTTTAAAAAAAGCTGCTATTGGGAACTTTTTCATGAAGAAAGGTACTAAGTATTTGGTCTTCGATATGATCGGAATCTGAATTTTTGACAAATTTGGTAAATGTTAGCATTTGTTGACCGCGGTTATCAACCATACCATTTAATCAAATTATTGAGTTTAGGCACTCGTTCCATTCGTAGATGTCAACTACGAGGGGCTCGCAGGGTTCGAGCCCTTTATTCCCAATGTGATGAGGAAAGAATCCACTCCCAACAAATTTCTATAGTATGAACTTCATGAACATATCGAACGTGCACATTCCATTACAAAGGACTGTATCTGTCTACTAGCAGTTATAGTAGAATTTGTTTAATGGTGCCCTATTTAGGATTTATAAACTCACCTAAACTGTAAATGGAATCATCTATTAAAATACTGTACAGTTTTAGTTTAAAGATTTTTAAATGACAACACTTTTCTGTTATCAGGAGGGGCTTGAAACAATTCATTTTTCATATAGGCATATATGACCGCATTACTTGGAGAGGACTGGCGGTTGAAATTGCGGGAGGCCTTGACTCTGCAAGAGTTGTAGAGCCATTCATGATGATGATGATGATGATGATGATATATTATATATTGCATAAAGGCATATAAGATATATTCTAAACAATATCTTCATCCTCCCAGATCTCCCCCACCCCGTGATCTTATAGCCCCCTCCCCTCCTCAATAATTTTCATAAGTCGGCGACTATGGTTCGACGCATATTTAACGTTCTTTAATTTCTTAAATAATATTTTTTTCCCTTCGATGCACTGTTTAATAGTATTAGATGAAAAAAGAAAAAGAAAAGAAAAGATCGGATAAATTTGGCTTTTTTTGGCTGTAAAGTTGTAAAGCACCCTAGATGCCTGGTGTTAGCAATTTTCTTTTTCACATGTCTAAGCCCATATACAGAATGTTATAGATAGAGGAGAATATTTAAAGGGGTGATACAAGACCTCAAGAGCTACAAAACAGTATATATAAACAATGATAGTATTAAACTCAGCCGATTTTCAGCAGGAAAGGAGGAAATTAAAGTTTTGTGTTTTTTTAAGTGTCACGTTTTTTGTAAAATAGGAAGAGATAACTAAAAAACTATTTAATTTAAGTAATCAACAATTGCTTCACTGTAAACTAGACAAAATTTAGTTAAAATGAAAATAGAGTTTGCTATAATTAAAACCATTTTAAAAGGACTTTTAAGCATTTAAACTCAGCTGGTGCGGGGATATGGGCAGTGGTGAGGTAACAGGTAGGGGTGGGGAAAGCACCTGGTAGAGAGGTGTATCCCCTCCCCTGAGAAAATTTCTGGACCCACCACTGGTGTGTATGTGAACAATTTAGCTCAAAAATGAAGTCATACAAAAGTCAAATTAGGTATTTAAGATAGATATTCGCCTGGGATATTACAGCAACTTTTTCCAGAAAACCAGCTAACCAGGAGTGCCACTTTATATCATCTATTTTACACATTTTTACAAGTTTCTCAAAAACAGCTCTAATGATTTTGATTAAATTCATTACATCAGTGTAAAATCAAGTCGTTTTTAATAAAATCTAGGTTTTATTCTCATTGATGTTTCCTAACAAGGCTTTCAAAATTTCTTTCTTTAAAGTATCTTTAATCTTTTTTATTTGAAATAATCAAACATTTCACGTTCTAAACTGCTATAAAAAAATATTTAAATATAGTATATAAAAGAATTTGATAATTAACTGAAGGAGAAATAAGGGATAGTAGTAGAAGATAACTTAAGAAATCCGACCACTCACCCGAAGTTAGCTGAAAGGTAAGAATAGTCTTCTATGTGTAACATATCCTTAATAAAATATGGTTCTCATAAAATTTTATAAATAAAGATGTGCAGTTTTCATAAATACCATGTTTAAGACATCACAGCATAACAAAATTTTTATTCAGTTCAACACTAATCAAATTTTCACAACATTAACAAAACTAGTTTTGTCATACTTTTCTGTGAAGTATGACATGTACATAAATTTGAAAGACATCAAGAAGAAGACTAGCCAAGTTTCATTAAAATTGGTAGACCCAATTCTATAGAGACACAGAATTTTTGGCTGTCATCTTAAAAAAAAAAGAGTGGATGGTAAAGTCGAGTTCTGAGGATCATTTTCAGGTGCCCTTTGACATTGATACCGAATATCAAAACAGTTGGTTCTCAGTAGTCTCAGGAAAAAGTCACGAATGGCTAATGATTAATCGATTTTTGAATTTCTCAACTTTTTTTTTTATTGATTGATTGTAATTATGAAAATAATACATAAATACAATAATAATAAAAAAATACAAATAAATAAAAGCTCAAACAACAAATTGATCTAGTATTTTAAAAAGTCTTATGCTAAATAAATTTAAGAAGGCATCAAATTTAAAAAATTCAATTTTACGCATGTTAAACTTGTTGCAATAAATTATACATTGAACAAGGGAAAAACTTTATTATTACCTTTCTTTCATTTCCAGTTGGTTCTAGATTGTTATCTAATTGCTTAATGACTCCATCTTTACCCCCTCCAGAGATAATACTTCCATCTCTTAAAACGCACAGACAGAAAATAGGACCATCGTGGACCTTTGTCACCATCGTGACTATGGAATTAGTGCCTAAAACAATAAATGGTATAATTACAGTAAGAAAAAAAAGTTGTTTACTATTATTCTATTCAGTTTTTAAAATTTAAAATGCTTTGATTGATTTTACTTCCACAATAAATCTCAATTAAGTTTAATTTAATTAAAATTAATAAATCAAAATAATTTTTTTCATAAGAATCATGACATGGATTATGATACATTAAATCACAGTTTTATAACGTTAAAAATAAGTATTTATGAGTTGTTAATAAACTAAATTACAGCATTAACATACCTCGTCCCCAAACAATTATGTTGCCATTGGAATCACCGGAAAGGACATCCCCACTAGGAGTGAAGGCAATGCAGGTAACATATTTTGGTTTCTCTCGATCACCGAAGATTCCCAGACGCTTAGAGAGTGCACCACTTTGGTCAAGAGACCAAAAGGAGATGTGTTTTTTGCCATAAGTCACGATACTTCCTTCATCCATAGGATGCCATTCACAACCAATGACGGTATCTACAGAACACTAAGGAGCATAAACTTCATATCAGTGACTTATAATTTTTAATTATAAATCATAGAATATAATATGATCCTAAAATCTGAATTAACTATCAAGAAATGATGGTATATAATCTTGTACAAAAAAAAAAGAAAGGAAACAAAGATTTTCAGAGTTGTTGATTAGTGTTCAAGAAAGCTTCACTTGTCATAGGGTAACTTTTTGGGCACTAATACAAGCAATTGAATCATTTTTAAAATTATAGATCTTGAAACATTTTTATTTTACTTTTTTCAAAAAGCATAGTTCCTAAATATTTTTAATATTAATAATTAATTGTAAATGTATTTTAAAAAATCTATATAAATAAAATAAAGGGTTTTGTCTGTACATTGAATAGAATCAACCGGTTTTATGATATCTTTCCATTTCATGGATACCAAATAAACTTTTAAAAATATTTTGTATGTCTGTATGTTCGCATTGCAATGAAATTTTATCAGTGGTAAGCTTAGCAATGGCTTATTGTAGACTTTTGAAATGTTGACATTATACTAAGCTTTGCTTCAATTAAAACATAGGCTTTAAATGAAAACAAAATATTGAGTAGAACCAAAGTTATGAAATTATTCTTGAGTAATTTGTCAAGAGATCTCCTTTAATGTTGATAATAAATGTTAACAATAAACATATGTTAATAGGTTAAAGATTATTATTGAATAAAGTGTGAGTCTTGATACTACACATTGTTTACATTTTAATTTGAATATGTTACACAGACCAAATTCTGTTTTTTTCTGCAGACAAATTATATAGGATTTTTCAAATTTGATTTTAAAATATTTTCTACGATTTGATAAAAATTCCTTTAAAAAAGTTCAATTTAAGCTCAATTTTCAAAGCAGCCAAACTTAAAAGGAAAGTTAGGTCGAAAGATCCCCTCAGGAATAGAGCTGTTCAGATTGAGGCCAAGACCTTTAACATATCACATCAAGATTCTGGTGATTCGTCAAGAGTACAGACGTTAGCCCTTGAGCGTAAGTATACTGTTTTGGACTCATTGTTAAGTGTCCAATCGACTCAATATACTACAACCTATAATTATTACAATTCATCTGGCCCCTCTACGAGTGCTACTAAATTTAACCCCAATACACCTGGCCTAGAGAGATACAGTTGTCCATACTTCGCGCATTCTGATCTTTGTAAAAGTTCCACAAACCTTGAATTAAGAGAGTTGCATGACTTGCAAGGAATAAGAGTCGTAAAGTGACTGAGGGATTGAAAGAGTCTGCATACCAAAAAAAAGCAAGGCTTGATAATAATAAATTAAAGAGCTTAAACTTAAATGTTTAATGGGACTCCTAAACAAAGGGCAAATATTTGGATCATTCCAATATTTCATGTATTCTATTGAATGGCAAAAGCGTGGTCTTCCTCATTTGCACTTACTCCTTTGGCTTGAGAAACCCATTCGCCCTGACCGAGTTGACCTCGTCATCAGAGCAGAACTATCTGATTGCAGAGAGGATCCTGAGCTTTTTGAAATTGTAAAGAGTCACATGATTCATGGGCCATGTGGTCACTTTCATAGGCAGTCTTCCTGTATGAAGGATGGACGATGTACCAAAAAGTACCCTAGGCAATTCGTGAGGGAGACTATAACTGGAGAAGATGGTTATTCCACCTACAGAAGATTTTGCCAGAGGATGATGGTGTCACCACTGTGATGAAAATAGCCTCTGAGAATGTTTCTTTTGATAATTGATGGGTTGTTCCTTATTCTCCTGTTTTGTCCAAGACATTCAATGTCCACATTAATGTGGAGTACTATAAGAGCGTCAAGTTCATCAAGTACACATGTAAGTATGTGAATAAAGGGTCAGATGGCATTATTATTGCGATCCGATCAGTAATGAGAATGATGAAGTTCAAAGGTACCAGGAGTGGCCGGTACATCAGTTCTTCAGAGGCAGTATACTATACTCTCTTTCCCTATACATGAGAGGTATCCCCCCGTTATACAACTTGCTGATCATCTCGAGAATGAACAGAAGGTTTACTTCAATCGGGATAACATTAGAGAAAGAGTAGAAAACCCAAAGATTACTACTCTGATGGCTTTTTTTAATCTCTGCCAAAATGATGCAGAACTTTGTTATATAGCGATGTGCCCTCATTCTATACATTTAATAAACACCTAGATAAATTTTCCAGGAGGTCGGGACATCCAGTAGATGGTTATCAAGGAGTAAAGCATGACAATTCCATTGGAAGAGTGTACACAGTTCACCCAAGCAACATTGAGTGTTACCATCTCAGGCTCCTGCTGCATAGTGTACGAGGTCCCACTTCATTTGAAAGTATAAGGACAGTGAATAGAGTGCTTCACTCAACATTTCAATCAGCATGCCATGCTCTCAGTCTCTTGGATAATGACTCCCATTGGGAGGAAGCCCTTAGAGAAGCCACTGTTTCTGACAGCCCTAACAAATTATGGAATTGTTTAGTATGATGTTGGGTTTTGTAGCCTCAGTGACCCCTTTGATCTCTGTACCAAGTTCCCAGATTCCTTATCTGAGGATTGTTTAAAGGAGGCACATGGGCTTAACCCATCAACTAATTTCGAACTTGCTCCACATATATGTGATTTATGTCTTAAACAAATCCAAACCATCATCTTTCCCATTGGTGGGTTCAAACTTGACCAATATGGACTGCCTTCCCCTCCCAAGTTACTTACAATTTAATCCAAAATGGAATTTACCAGAGAAATGAGCTATGATCTGGCGCAACTGAATTCGTATGTTAATGAGATGGTGCCACGCCAAACAGATGAACAAAGACAAGTATACAAAAATGTTTTGCCAGAGCAAACGGTCAATCCAAATTATTTTTTCTAGATCCTCCTGGAGACACTGGAAAGACATTCTTAATAAATTTGCTGCTGACCAAATTTAGGAAGAAATCAAAGATCGCTCTTGCAGTAACTTTGTCAGGCATAGCTGCCACTCCACTCCCAGATGGAAGAACGACTCATTCCACATTCAAAATTCCAATCAATGTCGGCAATATGGAAACTCCAGTATGTTCCATTTCAAGGAACAGTCCTATGGCACTTCTACTTCAGAAGGTAAAACTGATCGTGTGGGATGAGTGTACAAATCCTGCATCGAGGCATTGGATCGAACTTTAAAAGATTTCAGAAACAGTACCTTGACTATGGGGGGAGTCACTGTATTGTTTTCTGGAGATTTCTGACAAACTCTGTCAGTTTTTATCAGGGATACTAGGGCTGATGAGGTGAACGCGTCATTAAAAAGATCCTTTCTTTGGCAATAAATTGATCTTACAGCTAACATGAGAGTTCGACTTGGCAACGAGCCCACCCCGCAAGAGTTCTCTGAGCTGCTGATGAGGGTTGGCAATGGCACAATGGAGGAAATTTGTGGTCTCATTTTCATCCCTCCAACATTAGGCACTGTTGTGAACTCCAAACAAGATTTTATTGAGAAGGAATTTCCTGGAGTTACCAACTTGCAAACAATCAAAATTTCCTAGCTTTGTGAGAGGGCAATCCTTACTCCTACAAATAAGCAGGCAGCCCAGATAAATAGGAAAATTCTATCTCTTTTCCAATCTGAGCAAAGAATCTACAAATCAGTCAATACTGTACTCAATAAAAATGACGCAGTTCATTATTCCACTGAGTTTCTTGACTCCATGACTGCTTCTGGACTGCCTGCTCATGAATTGACTCTCAAGGTAGGAGCAGCCATCATGCTCCTCAGGAACTTAAGCTCCCCAAAATTGTGCAATGGCACATGGCTCAAAGTATGAGCTTTGCACAGAAACATTATAGAGGCAGACATAATGACCGAGTGGGAAACTGAAGAGTTCGTATTTATACCACGAATACCCCTGATTCCAAGTAACTACCCATTTCATTGTAAACGGTTGCAGTTTCCTGTCAGCGTCTGATTTGTCATGACTGTCAACAAGTCCCAAGGCCAGACTCTGTCAACTGCGGGGATTGAAGTAAGTGAAACCGCATGCTTCTCCCATGGTCAACTCTATGTTGCTGATGAGGCCTAGCAGAAGTACAACAGAGTATTCGGTTTTGAGTGAAACTTATTCGAGGATCTTATGTTTTGCTTCTGCTCTACTCAGACCAGTATTAAAGACAAAACAAATAAATAAAAACAATGTGAAATTATTTAAGCATAATTTGGTAAAAGGGCCGAGTGATAAGAAAAGGAAAAGAACCAAGATCATTTGACCCAGCTTCTTATTTTGATAATGAATTATTGGAATAACATTTGGTATAAATTTCTTTGTTTAATAATTTTTTTTCTACAGTTACTTGGTACTTGATCCGACTTTGTCTTTTGGTATTGAACTATTTCAATAAAGAATAGGTATCAGCCGCTTTTTATTGAACCAAATTTTGTGGGTTTTAAAATATTTTCTGCAGACCACATTCTGTTGTTTTTTCTGAAGACAAATTGTGTGGGACTTTTTAAAATTTGGTTTTAAAATATTTTCTATGGATTGATAAAAATGCCTTTTAAAAAGTCCAATTTAAGCTAATAAAAAATTTCATGTATCCCCCCATAATACAAAATCTATCTCAAAAAAAGATTCTCAAATTTTAACTATACACTCGTCAACAACGGGTACATCAGCTAGTATTTCATAATATAGATACAAATTAATTAAATGAAAAAATGAGTTAGTTTTCATTTAATCGGAGAAGAAGAAGAAGACAAATAAATTTTATTCTGGGACATTTAGTCTCCTAAGAATAATTATAATGAACAAAAAGTTGAAAATTGTCTGGCAATATAAAAAAATAAGAAAATTTTTCGCTGACATAATCAAAACAATAATCTACCCTTATAATTAAAATAAATTAAGTACGAGTAAACATATTGATTTGTACATAAATATAAATCAGTGTGTTCACATATTTGTCCTGATTAACAATATTGATGATGTATAAGTAACAGTAACATAACATTCAAATGAGAGTGACAGTTCTTTAATATGAAATTTTATTCTTACATGTATTCGGAAGATTGATTGCTCAAGAGATAGAAGAATAAATGTTATTAAAATGAGGTTAAGGAAGAGGATTTGCATATTGAGATAGGCAGAAAATTTTAAAAAAATGTAGCACGCATGATAAATTATTTTTTAAAGGAAACAGTTCTATGAGAGGGAACAAACAGATTTTTGGACTGGGATCTTGTGTTAAACAAATGAACAGAGGAACAAGGAGTAAATAAATCAAGAAGGTAAGATGGTTTTTGGTTGTAAAGGTTCGGGAAAGGAATACACCCAGGAAATATTGCCACCAAAAATCTGGATAAAGCCACTTCAACTCAGCATACTATCTAGACGTAAGAGCGTCTGGGGACTCCAAAGATAAATCGAACAATTCATGAATCTTTTCAATCTGATCTCAAGCCCACCAGACATTCCACCATATAAAGGTAGCCATAATCTAAGTGAGGAAAAAACTAGGAGTTGGTGGGTTTTTAGGGGCATAGAATCACGGAATCTCAGAAACTGTTTTAGGGTAGCAATAGAATTTCAGATAATTTGGGAGGCATTATTCCAGGACAGGTATTGATCGAAAATTACTCTGACATTTCTGACAGAAGTATGAAAACGAATAGGTAGTGCATTGAAGTAGAGTAGGGGATAGTATGGAATGGAATGGAATTGAATAAAATAGCATCGTAATCATTCTTGGTCTACCATTCATTCAGAGTGAGATGTGTTCCTGTAGAGCCTGGAACAAGCTCCACAACCAGTTCTCTTGTTTCATTCCAAACCTCTTTTTGAGAAGCATTCCAATACTCCTTCTTTCTCTGAACCTTCTCCCATCAACCTTAGCCTCATGTCATCCTAACAAGTTAATTGTTGTCCATTTTTAAAACAATCCCAAACCAGCTAAGGCAGTGTTCTTTACCAACCTATTTTGCTGCTTTGATCCAGAGGTTTGATCTAATAGTTGTATAATGGATTTGGTTTTTACTTCTATTTTCCTAAGGTGTCTCGTTTGAGATGCTTGTATTTTGCCTGAATGCTTCATAGTCATTGACTATGGTTCAGAGGAGTAAGTTAGAATGGGAAATAAATGTCGATTTGTAAATCTTCATTTGGAGACTTAGAATTTCTCAGATAAATAATTACCAATTCTAACTTTATTGAATGCATCCAGATCCTTACTATCTTTATTAACTTTTTAGTAAACAAATAACAATAAGTAAAAATAACAACAATAATAAAAACAAATAACATTTTAGAATGTAAACAAATAATCATTATAATTTGTGACTGGGTAAATTAATATTCAAGGATTTGATAAATCCACTTCAAGCATGGTTCTTGAAGTGGAAAATTCATGTGGGATTCCCAATCTTAAAGAAGTTCAACGCAGCTGGGCACACCATATTATATATTAATTCTATTCTATTCTATTAAATATTAACCTAGATCCCTTTTCCAGCTGTCTAGAGTAACAGATTTTGACAAATGAGCTAAAAGAAAGGAAAATTTCATGAAGAAGATCTGAATACCAATCTTGGTTCTAAAATTCCAATTACAACTTCAATCAAAGTGATTGAAAGGGTAGATGGTTTAAAAATTCTGATGGTTTTTAGTTTGTCTGCTAAATTAATGGATCAAAACAGGACCAGAAAGACCTTTTAGCATAGTTGCTACAGGATACTTACCACAGGCAATTGGTAAAGTTTTCAGGTTCCCATGAGCAATAGAACAAATTATTTATTGAGTAAGCTGTTACTTCAATTTACAATTAGTGATTATAAAGTATGTACCTTCAACAATTATTGTGTTTAATATACTTTGTTGGTGATATTAAACTGTTTATATGAATAAACATGTTTCCCTAATGTTGCTTACACTTTGAATGTATTAAAGAGGCACATAACACAAACGATGAATATTTAAAAAAGCTGGAGAGAGAACGTAAATGGACAATCATACTAATAAAACAGATGTCCACAGATTGAGAGAAATAGAAAAAGAGAGCCAAGGCACCATGAATTCTAAACTGAACAGCCAGTAGAAGAAGATACATTAATTATCTAATAGTAGAGTAAGTCTCCTTTGCTATTGGATAATTATACAGAAGATAATTACATATAAAAATATAGTGATATATTTACAGTAATGACAATTGCTAAAGCTAATAAATACTATTTTACCTTAACTTCTGCAACTTTGACACCTTCATCACCTGATTCCCAGTCCCAGATTGAAATGTTGTGTTCATTAGAATCGTCAATCCCACAAAGGTACTTACCACCATCCTTAAACACAAAAGGCTTTAGTAAAATAACCATTAGTAAAATAGAAATTAGTAAAGTAACCATTATTATTTTTTTTTTAATAAGAAGAATTCTTGAAAAGTAAATAATAATAATAATAATAATAATAATAATAATAAGGCTTAGCGAACCCGAAGGTTCGATGCCGACACCACCAATCGCTTGTTACACACCTCCCTCCACCGTTCGCCGTCCAAACCCAGTCCCTTCAGATCGGCTTTAATGCAATCTTCCCATCTTCGCTTCGGTCTACCCCTCGGACGCTTACCATTCGGCACAGCAAATATTAACCTTTTTGGAATTCTCTCGTTACTAAGCCCAACAACTTTACAAGCCCATTTGATTCGCCGCGATGAAATTACCTCAATTATATTACCCGGATACATCTCACGCAATTCGGCGTTGTGTAACCGTCTGAACTCTCCGGTTAACTCATCCTTTTTCGGTCCGAATATTCTACGCAATACTTTATTTTCAAAAACCTTAAGACGCTGCTCATCCCTTAATGTAAGCGGCCAAGTTTCGCATCCATAAAGAACTGTAGGTAAGATAATTGTTTTATAGATTCTAATTTTTAAGTTTCGGGACAAGAGGCGCGAACTAAGTAGTTTTGTCACAGAAAAATAACAAGCATTCCCCGCCTTCAGTCTAACCTTAATCTCTTCTTCAATTTCGTTTTTTCTAGTTATCGTAGAACCTAGATACCTAAATTTATCTACCTGTTCAAACATATTACCATCTATATCGATATCACCAGTAGTATCGCCATTTTTGCAGCTAACCATATATTTTGTTTTATCCACGTTTATTTCGAGTCCTAGTTCTTTCCCGGCTTTCATTAACGTTGTCGTATTTAGTTTTATAGTTTCAACGTCTTCGCTTAACAGTACCAGATCATCAGCAAAGGCCAGCACGGATGTTGTCCCGCCCAGATCCAACCCTTTCTCGGTTCGTATTACCTCCCTAATGGCATGTTCTAATGCCAAATTGAACAGGACAGGCGAAAGAGAATCCCCCTGTTTTAAGCCCGAACGAACCTCAAATTTTTCGGACAAATTATTACCGATTCTAACTTTATTGAGTGTCTCCGTCAAGCACATCCTGACTAGATTTACTAGTTTTTTTGGAATCCCCTGCTCGATTAGAATATTATACAGTTTCTGGCGGTCAATAGAATCGTAAGCCTTTTTAAAATCTATATACAGGTGGTGAACAATACCGTTATACTCCAATTTTTTCTCTAATATTTGCCGTAAAGAAAATATTTGATCAATAGTCGAGCGATTCCGTCTAAATCCGCATTGATAGTCTCCGATAATTTCCTCGGCGTATTCCGTGATTCGACTGGTTAAGATTAAAGTGAATATTTTATAACATACCGGAAGGAGTGAAATTCCTCGATAGTTATTACAATCCGTCCTCGGACCCTTTTTGTGAATCGGAATAAGAATAGATTCTTTCCATTCTTCAGGTAATTTCTCGTTCACCCAGATCTTTTTAACCAACCGATGTATTTTAGAAACTCCAGCTTCTCCGCATGCCTTAATTAGTTCAGTAGGAATATTATCGATTCCCGCTGCTTTATATGATTTTAATTTTCCGATAGCTACTTCAACTTCCTCTTTACTTGGTCCTTCTATTAACGGTTCAGCACTCTGGTACTCAGAAGGAGGACACAGATCATAATTTACCGTATTTAAAATATTGTCAAAGTGGTCCTTAAACTTATTCAATATGTCAACCGGATCGGTCAGAATATTGTTATTATCATCCCTAATTCCAGACGTTACGGGCCCTACATATTTACGTGATCTGTTTATACATTTGTACATGTCTCTTACGTTATTTTCGATTCTATTAGTTTCTATTTCAATTATTTTATTTTTAAGATACTCCCTTTTTTTATTTTTGAGCAATTTTGTCGTTTCGTTCTTTGAGATTCGGAAGTATTCCAGATTGTCTTCGCTAGGATTATTTAGAGCTTTTAATTTAGCGGCTTTTCTTTTTTCACACATGTTTAAGCAATCTTCATCAAACCACGGTTTGTTATTCTTATTTTCCTTTTTTCCTAGACACGAGTTACCGACCGCTTTAATATTATCTCTGATCTCTACCCATAACTTGTCAATATCCTCGTGGTCCTCGTCAGGAAGCTCTAAAGCTTCAAACCTATTCTTAACATCTAGCTCGAATTGGTTTCTAATTGATGGATTTTTTAATTTTTCCAAATTAAAATTCTCAAAATCGAAACGGTTTTCTTTTCTCTTTTTTATATTAAGTTTTTGTCGAAGTTTCGCGATTACTAATTCATGATCCGACCCACATTCTGCTCCGCGATAAGACCGTACATTAATTATACTGCTTTGCCAGCTGTGTTGTATCAAGACATGATCGATTTGATTTCGTGTTTGCGAATCCGGTGATGTCCAAGTATATTTATGAATATCCTTATGTTTAAACGTCGTACTTTTAATTACTTATTATTTACTTTGAAAAGTAAATAATATAAATAATAATTATAAATCAAACTTAGATAAGGTTCATACATACCGTTTTAGAGAATGCAAGACATGCTACTGAAGCATGAATTTCCCCAAGACCAATCACAGCAAGAGTGGCAAGAGTGATGGAATCCCACACCCTGATATGGGCCCTTCCATCGTGTCCACCGACTTGTCCACTAGCCAGTTGCATCCGCTCAGGGTGTAGAGCCAGACTAAAATATATTTATAAATATGTAGGAAGTCTAATAATGAAGATACATTTTATTTATTTTAGAGAGCAAGTAATGGTGACCGGTAAAAAGAAAATTTATATTACAAATTTTTAAATAAATAAAAACCTAGACAACTGGGGTGGGGAGGGTGGCTGAATGGGCTAACTCGTGTGCACAGCACTGTGAGTGGTCCAGTAAACAGATAACGGAAGTTGTGAGAGATTAAAAAGTACGAGTGCCGGAGAGGATTTTAAATTCCTAGCCCCCCTCTGCCCGGGAAACCCCGTATAGTCTAAAAAGGCGAAGTAGGGAAGAACAAAAAAAAACTGTAGCCAGACCCCTACCCCTATGTGAATCCACAAGGCATCTCAATTTCTGGCAATCTTCATGACTCCAGACTAGGTCTGTCCACCACTGATCATTTCTTTCTCTAGAATCTGCCTCAATCTTTTTCTACTAGGCCATTCACATTTTCGCTGAATCTTTTAGTTCATGACTAAAGCTCAAGATTAAATATTGTTTCAGGCCACCAAACTCACAATATGTTCCCTGAATATCTATTAACAAATTTCTCTAGCTTCTTGGTTACCAAATATTGTAGCAAAACCGAAATAATATTAGTTTTGAAAATGCAAAGTTTGGTCCTTCCCCCAAATATCTTGTGATTTCCACACTGGTCAGAGCTGTGAGAATGCGTTTTCTGCTTTTCTTATACAGCTCTTAATATCAGTCTCCCATCCTGGTTCACCATACTCCCAAGGTAGCAAAACTTACTAACTCTACTAAACTCACAAACTAATTATTTGGTCATTTATAGAATTTTCCTGACTTCTGCTGTTCACTGGTATTTATCTTGTTTTAGCACCATTTATTATCTCCTTGTCTTAAGCCTATTTTTTATAAGGAATGTTTTTGAGAGGCCTCTCCGACAACTTACTTGACAATATATAGCATTTCCAAGTCAATTTCAACCTTTTCCAAATCAAATTCAACCTTTTCCAAGTCAAATTAAACCTTTTCCATTTCAAATTCAACCTTTTCCAAGTCAAATTCAACCTTTTCCATTTCAAATTCAACTTTAGAATTTTTGTCAATTTTCGATTTTTTTCGAAATGAAGGCCAATTACTATATTATCGACGGCATAGCTTTTAAAAAATACAAAAAAAAATTTGATTACGCAGTTGCATATACATTTATTTTAACATTTTAGATTTTTTCAGTGTGATATTCAATTATTTCCAAGTCAAATTCAACCTTTTCCAAGTCAAATTCAACCTTTTCCAAATCAAATTAAACTTTTTCCAAGTCAATTCAACCATTTCCATTTCAAATTAAACCTTTTCCAATTCAAATTCAACCGTTTTCATTTCAAATTAATGTTTTAAGTTTTTGTAAATTTTATATTTTTTTTTTAAATAATGGCCATCCCCTCCCTCCCTCCAATATGAAAATCTATTATTATGCTCTTCTAAGTAGAATTTTCACTTACGGATATCGATTTATTGTACCTATTCGGATTTCTTAGGGACTAGTATTATGCTTTCCTGTACCTAGTTTTGAAAATAACCTCCATTTTAAGATTACGTGACTGCGTTTCGAATCATTTAAGTTTTTTTGACAAATTCGATATGTGGGTGTATTTTTATGTTTCCCGATCAGTAAATTTTGAAAATGACATCCATTTTATGTTTACGCCACTGTGTTTTGACTTATTTAAGTTTATAGAATTTATCCAATATAAAGGTCTACTTTTATGTTTCCGGAGCCGTAGATTTTGAAAACGACCTTCATTTTAAGATTAGGCCACCGCGTTTCGACTTATTTGAGTTTTTCGGATATTTTTCATATGAGGGTGTATTTTTATGTTTCCGGAGCTGTAGATTTTGAAAATGACCTCCATTTTAAGATTAGGCCACCGCGTTTCGACTTATTTGAGTTTTTCGGATTTTTTTCATATGAGGATGTATTGTTATGTTTCCGGAGCCGTAGATTTTGAAAACGACCTCCATTTTAAGATTAGGCCACCGCATTTCAATTTCTTTGAGTTTTTCGGATTTTTTTCATATGAGGATGTATTCTTATGTTTCCGGAGCCGTAGATTTTGAAAACGACCTCCATTTTAAGATTAGGCCACCGCATTTCGATTTCTTTAAGTGTTTCGAATTTTTATCATAAAAGAGTGTATTCTTATGTTTCCGGAGTCGTAGATTTTGAAAATGACCTCCATTTTAAGATTACGCCACTGCGTTTCGGCTTATTCAAGTTGTTCGAATTTATCCAATTTAAAGGTCTACTTTTATGATGCCGGAGCCTTAGTTTTTAAAACGACTTACATTTTAAGATTAGGCCACTGTGTTTCGGTTTTGTTAAGTGTTTTTGCTTTTTCCTTCGAATAAAAAACATAATACGAAGGATTAATTTATTTTTCAATAAATAAATCAAAATATCTAATCAAAATAAATAAAATATGTATTGTCTCATTTTTAATTTAATTTTAGTTATCTTTTTTAATTTTGTGGTCTCCTATCACAAAATTATAAGATTTCGAACAATTAGCTGAAAAATCTGAATACGGAAGGTTAAATATATTACCAGTTGCTTTTCGGCTTTTAGTTTGTATTCTGTGGTTAATTTTACTTCAGCTTCATAATATTTATTTATTTATTCATACTCGAAAACATATTGATGAAACTTTGTATTGAAAAAATCCAAAATGAAGCCTAATTAATCAAGATGCAGCGGCTTAATCATAAAATGGAGCTTAAATATTAGATAAATTTAAATATTAAAGATTAGAAAAATTTCAATACGTCTCGGATAACATATAAGTAGATCCTTATACCGAAAAAGTAAAAAAAAAAACTTTTATAATCCAAAAGAGTGGCATAAACTTTAAATTGGGTCATTTACAAAATAGGGGAAATCTACTGCTCCAGAAACATAAAATTAGACCTTTATACTTGTTAAATTCTAAAAATTTAAATAAGTTGAAACGCAGTTGCGTAATCATAAAATAGAGGTCATTTTCAGAATCTACGGTTCCGGAAACATAAAAGTAGACCTTTAAATTGGATAAATTCGAAAAACTTAAATAAGTCAAAATGCAATGGCGTCATCATTAAATGGATGTCATTTTCAAAATCTACGGCTCAAGAAACATAAAAGTAGACCTTAATATTGGATAAATTCGAAAAACTTAAATAAGTCAAAACGCAGTGGCGTAATCATAAAATGGAGGTGATTTTCAAAATCTACAGCTCCGGAAACATAAAAATACACCGTCATATGAAAAATATCCGAAAAACTCAAATAAGTCGAAACGCGGTGGCCTAATCTTAAAATGGAGGTCATTTTTAAAATCTACAGCTCCGGATACATAAAAATACACCCTCATATGAAAAATATCCGAAAAACTCAAATAAGTCGAAACGCGGTGGCCTAATCTTAAAATGGAGGTCATTTTCAAAATCTACAGCTCCGGATACATAAAAATACACCCTCATATGAAAAATATCCGAAAAACTCAAATAAGTCGAAACGCCGTGGCCTAATCTTAAAATGGAGGTCGTTTTCAAAATCTACGGCTCCGGAAACAAAAAAGTAGACCTTTATATTGGATAAATTCTAAAAACTTAAATAAATCAAAACACAGTAGCGTAAACATAAAATAGATGTCATTTTAAAAATTTACTGATCGGGAAACATAAAAATACACCCTTATATCGAATAAGTAAAAAAAACTTAAATAATTCGAAACGCAGTCACGTAATCTTAAAAAGGAGGTTATTTTAAAAAACTACTCATACGATAACAGACCCACGCATCGAAAAATTAAAGATAATTAAATAAATAAAAAAAGGTTGAATTTGAAATGGAAAAGGTTTAATTTGAAATGGAAAAGGTTGAATTTGACTTGGAAAAAGTTTAATTTGATTTGGAAAAGGTTGAATTTGACTTGGAAAAGGTTGAAATTGACTTGGAAATGCTATATATCTTTTATTCTGTACAGGAGTTGTATTAGCTTCATATGGATCTCCCTCTCCTGCATGATTCTGAAGAGCTCTTGTCTTATGTTGGTGTCATAAGCTCATCAAAATTCAATGAACAGCAACCACATTGTCTGACCATATTCCTTTATTTTTACAGTGTTCATTTCTGGTCAGTTGTTGACCTGTTATGAAAGTTAATCAGGAGTTGATTTGAAAATTCTAATGATATAACCATGACTCAGAGGAACTTATTTTTGGGAGCGAGGGTACTGAGCGGGCTAAAACGTGTACCTAGCAACCTGGATAGAAAATAACGTGATAAAATATTACCAAATTCATGTCCTGGTGCCAAAGGAGGCTTTTAACTCTGGCATTAATTCCCCGCCCTCACCCCCTAGCCAGGGAAATCCCCATATCACTTAAAAGGCGAGGAAGAGGAGGACAAAAAAAATAAAAAATAAAAAATTGTCTACCCATTACTACTAAAACCTCCCAAATAATCACCAAGTTTCCTATCTACATATGGCAGGCCCTAGGAAGGGAAGGACCCATAAAAAAAAAAAAAAAAATATGGTAGGCCCTATGTTGTAAAATGCTATTGAGAAAACTCTAGAACATAGCATAGGGCCACCCTTTCTCTTATGAAATGGAACAATGATAAGTCTTTCATGTATTTTGCACATCATCCAGCAGGCTCTTCATATTTCCATTTTCATCTCTCATAATTTTAGCTGGATTCATCCCTTTCAATTGGATGCTTTGTACTTTCTGGAAGAATGTTCTAATTTCATTGTTTCGTCTTGAATCTCATTCTTCCAGTGATATTTTCTTTTGGGATCATCACTTTCTTGACCCGTTTCCTGGCATCAGAGTACTTTCTCAATGTACGGGGCATATTTCCAGCTATCAATCAGTGCCTTTTTTCATTCCTTCTTTTTTATTGCCAGACCAGTGTGCACTCTTGATCAAACCAGATCTTTCTGGAAGATCTATGCCAGCCCAGCTGGAGAGAGCTCTCTGCAGTAACTTTTAATATGCCCTTTATCGCATTCATCTCTTGTCTAAGTTTTTACACAGCATCTATATTGCCAGTGAGTAACTAACGGTTGACATTTGTTAGCTCCTTCTTCATCTTTAAGGGATGTCAGATTCCATGATTTATTTTTCCTTGCTTAATTTTTCAATAGGCATTTGTTTAAGTTTCATCACAACAACGTAATAGTCTAAGGTTATGTCAGGGCCTCTGAATTACCTCATATTGTCGAATCTATTCAAAAAAGCTGCTTCCAGTAACATATGATCCATCTGGTTCAGAGTATTGCCACGATTAAGTGAATGCCAGGTTCATTATTAGTAGAAACTTAGAAGCAGCAAAATTTTTCATGCATCATTCTCATTCGTAGAGGTACATTTTTCAATATTGAGCATGTATTCTGCTTTTTTCCAATCTGTGCATTAAAGTATCTCAAAACAATTTTAATATCATTTGTTAAGCAAGTATCATAAACATTATCTAATTGTTAATAAAATTATTCTCTATAAAAATAAATAAATAAACTAATTCTCCTGCTCTTTATAGTGTATGTACATTCCGATTCCGATAATCTGTTTATGAGAGCCAGGCAATTTCCCTAATCACTTCAAATAGGCTGGATGACAGAATGTTCTCATAACTACATAATTGTTCTAAAACAGGTAAGCTGTCAACCCTCCAGCTAGCCCTCCTCCTTTATTGATGGGACTGGCAATTACTCTAGCAATGCTATTTCTACCGGTGGGATTATAATATGCCACAATAGAATTAAATTGTTTAAAAAAAAATTAATTAATTAAATTAAAAAAATTAAGAGATTTTGTTTAAGATGAAATATAACTTACCACTTTATGTCATCATTGTGTTCCAAATAATACCTTTGGTTATGTCCTTCAACATCATAAAGGACTACAACAGAGGCTACAAAATATACCATTTCACAAGTTGGAAGTAAATATAGATTGTTTCGGCAATCTTTTCCACGGTAGCCATAACTATTATTATTTTTAAGGATAAACAATACTATTTACATTTAAAAAAATGTATGAATGTTTTTCAATTATGGACACCAAAAAGTACCTAGAAGCTTCCAACAAATACATTACTAATTTTGAGAAAAGCAGCTAAATTAAATATTTAAAAAAAAACATTAAGATAAATAACATATTATTACATAGTATATTATACACCCTCTACATGAAGAGGATATCTACAAAAGTCTGTCAGTCAGATTCCCTGACCTTTCTCAGTCCTAAATAGAATTCTCTGAACCTTCTCCCTCCCCCAAATAACCAAGTAAAAAAATATATGAAATGTAATAAAATTTGTTTGTAAAAATATTAATTAATAACTGTCACAAAGACCAAATAAAAAAAAAAACCTGTACCACTAGAACCCATGAAGGGTCTTGAGTTCAGTACTATTTAGGGAAAGTACTATTTCAAATCCAACGGTTGTGCAGGGATGTGATAGGGCTAGGATCACGCTCAACTGCCACGTTTTCTCCCTTAATTAATTATTTAATTAAGGGTACCCACCACTTTGTAGAGGCTGGGTGTGCCCAGGTGGGTCTCCCTACCCCAGGGTTGCTCCACGGCCAATGAAACAGAATAAATAATTTTTCTGCCACGAGCCAGGATTCGAACCTGGGCCTTGAGCATTGGAAGCTTAGTGCCCTGCCACTGAGCTACCCCACTCCTGCAATTAATAAAAAATACAATTGAAACCAAACTTGAGTCTTTTCCATGCATATCCTTTTATATTAAAAATCACTGATGCCTGTCTTGCACTAATATTAGAAATGGAATAATATTAATAATAGCATATTTATTAAAACATTTCCCAGAGCTGCCGATAAAAATAAACAAATTCTCATATCTAGGTAAAGATCTAAATCAATATGACTTAAAATTAATAATTCTCTATAACTTAATACATTAATCATTAATTTAGTTTTCAAATTTATTTCATGAAAGGTTTGATAAACCACTGAGTTGAAAATCTGATATTGACCTTAGGTGCCGGATTAACTGAATAAAATTAAAAACAAATTTCAAATAAAGGGTTTGGAGTTTAATGGTTTGTAATAATAGTCTCATTTATGTATTATAATAAACAATTAATATCATTATAAAAAGTAATAACTCACTAAAAAAAATGCATTATTGAATAATTTAAAAAACAAGGATACATTTAATTGAGTAAATGCAGCAACATAAGTCAAATTTTATTAATAGTGCAAACATTATAATAAATAGAAACAAAATTTAAAAACAAGATGGTCGGGGATCACAGTTATAAAAGAGCTTAAAATAATAAAATATATATATTTTTTTTATGACTGTCACACCAGACCATCTCTTTCCTCAATATTATACTATGGTCAACCGTTGAGTTCTCAAAATTTATAAACCATAAACAGAAAAGAAAGAGAAGGTCTGGCAATTTATTGGAAGGAATTAGCCGTTAGAAAGGGTAAATACCTGAACTAATTATCCAGGAAGCAATAGAACGCAGTTAAGATCAGTTGACTAGCTAGAATTATCTTTGACAAATAATTTTTACTAACATCATGATTCATTAACAGTTAGAAACAGATGCCTAAACTGTGACAGTAAATATGAACATTTTCCATAAATCACAGAGTGTTCTTTTAAATAGTTATATTTACTGTTATAAACGACACATACTACAGAGAAAACGTATCATTTTTGATAATATGAATCGAGTTACTATGCTAAGTTCAAACTAGCTAGTTGACTTTAATTAGTATGGTGCAGCATAAGAATCAAATAATTTAAACAAAAGATTTAATAAAATTATAACAAAAGTCAATTTTAATTTTATGTTTAAATAAAAAAAATTCCTGTAAATTTCATATCATGTTATTAAAATATATAATTAAAAAATGTATAGTAAAAAAAGGATACACCCATTCCAACTCTAGCTTCTGTTGGGGCGGTGCTGCAACTTTTACAACATCATAGGTATCAACTAAGTTTGATGGAGCATAAAGTACTACTGGTCGGCCACGAAGGTACATCCGCAGGCTACCCTCCTCCTCATTGTACTCTACACACCTAATAAAATATTTAGTTTTTAAAATGTAAAATTAAACACTAAGTACAGTCAAGTCCCCATCCATGGGACTGCACCCTTACTTAGGACGAAATAGCAGTATTTTTAAAACCTCTTAAAATGGCAACATTATGCCAATAATTGTCCTATATCTCAAGAATTTTCCAAAAACTTTGTTTAATGTTCTTCTATCCTCTGAGAAGAGATTACATTTGCCACCTTACCACAGCCAGTGAAAGCAAGTGGAACAGTGCTAGGCTTTTTTGGTTCTAACAGCTTATTCATTAGGTGTTTATTAGTTGTTTGCTGGTAAACAAAGATTTTTAACTGGATAAGTTTTTGCCAAAATATTATTTTTTTCAAAAATCAAACAAATTATCCAAAACATGGGTTAAGTGTCCCAAATTTGGGTTAAGATTCCATGTTTGTTCATTTCTCAAATTCTTATCTATGATTTTGATTCTTTAAATTTTTTTTTTCCTTATTAGGCTTAAAGCTTGATGGACAATTTCTGAAACAGAAGTACCTGTATATTTGGAATTTTTTTTTGTCCCGTCTTACATCACTATCCTCCTTACTTGAAATGGTAAATTTAACAGGAGTATTCTATTACCATTTTAGGTTGATGTTCCAAGTTTAGGGTTTGTATTCCTAACTTGATACAAATGACAAAAAAAAAAAAAAAAAAAAAATTAAAAACACTTCTGCTTGGACTTTCAAAATGAGCTTTTGGTGTAAATACCAATATTCTACGGAATGTAACAAACTTTTTACTGTCCCAAATATGGGGACTTAACTGTATAACATTTCTTGCTATATGCAAAAAAATAATATTTTAAACTATTATCTATTTGTTATGCCAGGTTTAAAATATATTATGAAGTATGTTAGAAAAAATTGAATATATCACAATTAATTTAAATGTATATGTTAAATATAAATTTATTAATATAACTGTACTGAATTAAAAAAAAAAAAATTTAAAAATGAAAGTTAAAACTTTCAGGATGTTCTCCAAGCATATAATAATTACCTCACATTTTTCAATTACAACTTGTCCAATTTCATTGTTAATATTGTGTAAGTTATATTATTATTATGATAACCTATATAATAAACTAATTAAAGTAATTATTGTTGAATATCGTAATTTTCATTTTAAAAATTTTTAAAAGTAATCCATCCTATAATATCAAGATAATGTGTGACACTGTTTCTCCATTAAAACAGTTCTATTTGAAGCCCTAATCAATACCTCTTAAACATGTTTTATCTGATTGAAAGTAGAAGAATAAAGGAAATTAATGTACTCAAAAAACAACATAGTTAACAATATTTTACAAAGAACTCATTATTCCAAAATTTAGTAAAACATTTTTAATTCATTGAAATACAAGAACATAAATGTGATAGTCAATCCGAAATAAATGTTAAAGAATTAAATAGACATCCTCTGCCTACAATGAGCACTATTAATAAGCTTGTAGTGAAAATTGCAATACATTAATAATGATAACAAAATAATGGTTCTTGAAAATAAATTAAAAGTAATAAGAACAAAAATAAATAGAAAATGGCAACTGAAATAAAAGTTGGTAAAATTATACAAATACAAATTATGAATTATAAAACTTATAATATTAAATGAGTAAACAGAAGAGTGAAGTCGACAAATATCTTTGATCATTAGAAAAAATGAAGGCAATGAACCATAAAGTGAAAGAATAGGTACCAGGTCCAGAAAGAATAATTTTAAAAAGATGGTAGTACAAATATGATCGTTCTATTCATTTATTTTTTCTTAAATATTATGTATTTTTTAATAGATAAATGTTAGATATGGTATGGTTTGGAACACCAAAATTAATATTTGTTTTGTTTGTTTATGTTTTGCTAAGGTGGGATAACAGAGATTTAAAAATTATAAATATTGCCGATATTGCTTTTACTAAGGTGAGCTTTATGCCTGCAATTACAACTTACCCAGTTTTCAAATTTCTTAAAGTATGAATTATGAGTGAGTCAATTTTATTGCTGATCAGCAGATACTAAAATAATTAGAGAGCTTTAATATTATAACTAACAACAAAGTGACAGGCAAATAAATTTTTCAAATAAACAGGCCAGATCTGGGAATTGAGGTACTACTTTATTGGTATTAAATATATCATAAATTAATAGATTACTCTATAAAATATTTAAAATGGTATGGATGTCTACATATTGTGAAACTCTTAGAGCTAATAGTCAGTGACTAGCTTTTATTCAGAATAAATTGAAACATTAAATATTGTAAACATGAGCAAGTTTCTAAAATCATTACTGGAGCTCATCCATGGCATCAGATCACTCTCCAAACTGATAATGCTATCAATGAGCTCAGCTGTGAATTTAGAAATTTGCTCTACATAGCAAGTTATAATCAAAACCATGAAAATAACAAATAATACACAATGGGTAAACAATACTAAGCATGTCACCACAATGTGTAATTCTAGGCTTGTTGTCAAACTTTAGTTGTTATTAAATTTAAGTAAATATTAAATGTTACAAGTAATAATTAGAAAACATAATATACTAAATATATAAGGATTGGGTTATTTAAGTTAAAGAGGGACTATGAGTGATTGAAATTACTATTTTTTATTCTTGTTACTTTATTTATTATGAAGTTCTTTATGTTGTATTTATAATACAAAGATTTTTTGCTGAATTTAGACTTCCATAATTATTGATTTATTTAATGAAATCACTGTATCAAAAACAGTAATATTTCGAGAACTGGCACCCATCATCAGACAACAATATTTTTTTAATACAGTCATTATTTTACAATCTATAATACAGTTTTGTCATTGTTTATAAAATAATTTATACATAAATTAGTTCTATTGATTAGTGGCACTTTCTTAGTTCTATTTTAGAAAGTTTTCTTAAAATGATTTAATTAAATTATTGTAAAATTACGGAAGTCTAAATTCAATAAAAATCCCTGTACTTCGACTTTTCTTTCTACCATAATTAATATTAGTTGTTTTTAGAAAATGAACAAAATAAATAAATATTCAAAATTAATAGCCATCATTAGTCATTTATTAAGTAATTTAGAAATATATAATAAACATCAAATTCGGAAAACGCTAATAACTGTATGCCTGGTTAGAAAATACCTCTCTGTCTCTGACATGTTAAATGCACTGAATATCAACCCTGGCCGCTCCAGTGAAATACACAGACTATCCCACCCATTAGTGGTGGGGGTGTTCAGTAGCAATTTGTTTATTCGTAACTGTTTTTTTTTTTATTTAAAAGGCAACTGTTAACTATTTCGATCGAGATTAATAAGAAACGACGTAACGGAAGACAACATTAATAGTAAGGAATAGATAACAAAAATTACCGAATTCCCGCCGTCACCTTCTCCCACCCAAGTAGTACATGCTTTTAATGTAGCTTTCATTATTTTAAAACCAACAATCAATTGATTGTTTAACTTTTAGACGTTTAGTTGAAATTATTGGTTTATGTTTTTCTTACGATTTTACGAACAATAATAGATGATCTAGAACAAGTACAAGCTGCTCTCCAATCTAAAAATCGACTATGGATCATGTGTCCTCGTTAAGATGGTAATTGTAAAGGTGCGTTTAGACATTTCACAAACTATGGAAAACACAATTATCTAACTTAAATAACAGCTACATTATTGTTAAACCAAACTTTTTATTTTATTTCTTTTGATATCAGCATAGTGAAATAACCATTTATATATTTGTTAGTGAAATGTCTAAGCACACCTTAATAAGACGGTCATCATATAATAATAAGATGTATATATCGCCTTCTTAGACCTTAAGATAGTCTTTGATAAGGTTTCTTGTGAAGAGGTTTTGGATGCATTACATAGAAAGAAATCCGTTCCTAATCTGCTAAGTCTATGAAGTCAGACTACCAGGAACCTAAAGGAGTATTCCACCTCAACGGAAGAGAATCCTGCTTTAAAAATTGTAGCAAGCAAGTTAACAGCCTTAGACTACTCTCAAGATAACCTACAGAAAGCAGTTATGAAATAGAGAGAAGATTTAATCAGAAAAGGGTAGAGATAAATAAAACGAAAAGTGAAGTAATGCATATTAGGAAAATAAAGAAATATTAAATATCACTTGCCATGACATGATGATGGAATGCGTGGGTTCATACCAATGTCTTATAAACAGAGACACTTGTATTGATTCCAAAATTTCAAACAGTGTAAGGAATGCTAACGTAGCCTAATACAAATCAGCAATACATTAATTGGCAATAAGGAGATTTATAGAAATACCAAACTGGTGATCTACAAAACAACTTTCTTGCGGGTGTTAGTACATAGAGCAGAACACTGGACAATTCTGGAGAGCATATCTCAAGAATAATAGCCGCAGAAATAATGTTTCTCAGAAGAGTTATAGGAAAGAAAAAGATAGTTTGTATAAGTAATGAGTTATTTGAGACGAATTAAGTATCGTCTCCGTGAAATCAAAAATAGAGGAACGTCAACTCAGATGGTTGAGACATTTATGCGGAATTCCAGATTTCTTCGAGACGAAACCTGAGGGATTAAGCTGTGTGGGATGTGACATATATGGAAGGATTGAGAAAACAAGAAGAAATGCGGTGGCCAGATACCTCAAATGGAAGAGGATAGAAATAGATGGAGGAAGTAGTGGGGGCTCCATTTCGAAGCTCTGCACTTATTATTTGTGACTCCTTGTTCGAAATAAGGTCCTATCATACGTAGAGCTCATTTGCCGAAAGTTCATGGACAATCGTCTCACCGTCTAGTCAGCTTTAGAAAAGTCACCATGTGATAAGAAATTGGGAATCAAATTGGATTCCTTCTTGTTCTTTCATAAATAGTTAAATCTGTAAGATTGGTGGAACACTAAATACATATATATTTTTCATCAATATTGCTTTTCTGAT